CTCAGTATAGAAAGAAAGAAAACGTATCATTTTGTAGTAACTCTGGGTATAAGGAAGCTTGTAGGGGCACTTGCATGTGGGTGTCTTTCTGTGCTTTGGAGTGGGTGCTTCTTTTTGGGCCACTGACAATATTCTATGCTTACATGCTCAAACACTGTCTGATGTGAGTGTCGTTATATTAACAGGCCTGTTTGCCTGTGGCTGTGTTCGCCTGACATCCCAAATCTGGAAAACAATGGATAAATTCACCTAGGAATCACATTGTTCTTACAATTCTTGCTATCTACAGTTGTGCCTATCAAAACAATGGGTGTTCACCACCTAGAGATATTTCTCTCCTGTCTCCCATTCCCCATGCCTCTGTTGAAGTTAGATGACTCTTCAGACTTGATGTGGAATTCCAAGAGAGCTGAGGGGATTTAGGACAGAAACTCATACTCACTACGACTTTGAGAGCCCCGGAACAGCACTGTGGAGGAAGAGCATTCCACCACAGCCTTTCTTTTAAAGCTCTGCCCCCCATTCCTGATATTTATAAATCTGTCACACATCCACTCCCAATCAAGCTGTCCTTAGTTATTCAAGATCATTCTTTCAAACAATGTGTTATATTTTGGATTCTCTCTTCACTTCCCTGTGCATCAGAAAAAGCCCCACCACTTTCTGACATATTTAAAGTGTTCATTTGCATGACTCATTCATAGTACAATGGCAGCAACTAAACGGATTATTCTGTGCAAGATTCCTCCTTTCCTCCATCCCTCTTATCTTCCTTGACTTCTCCCTCTCCCTCCTTTCCTATTTTCTTTTCCTTTCCATTGTTTTCCTGTGTTTCCTCTCTTCTGCAGATATACATAGACTGTCTTCTCTGAACAAGGTGCGAGGACTGGTCACTGCAGCAGCAGAATGAGAAGAGCCTAAGCGTCACCCCTGAGGAAGTGGCAGTCCAGTGAGAGGTGGATGTGATGCATGAACCGGACTGTGTGAGAGCACTAGGCCATGAGAACTACAGTGGCAGTCAGAAGGAAGCAGAACTAAGGCCACAGGGGAAGTCAAGCGAGGCTTTTGAAAGGTGACACTTGGACCCCTTCCTTGAGCAGTAGGGTTTTTCTAGGTGGACAAGTTAAGAAAAAGACCTCCAAAGGAGGAAATGCCATGTGTAGAAAGGCAAGAGGAAAAATGCCATGATCTGAGAGAAAAGGTGGTTTGGATTGCTGGAACAGAATGATAGGAAGTTTGGGATCGGAGAACTATACATAGAGTAAATATTTGTCTTCAGACAGGCAATTGCACTAGGTTATCACAAAGGGAGGTATAGAAAACCCTCGAAACAGAGTATTCAAGGCAGGACCCCATTATTTCTCTTCACCTCACAATGACTACCAAGCAAGTCAAGCAAATTCCAGTTGTGATGAAAGAACACTTTTAGTCATCTTACTTGAGACAGAATCCTTGTCTTCAATTAACACAAGCTGGACCTAAGCTGACCACTGTGGTCCAACTCATTTCTGTTTAGGATGTATAGAATGTGTGTGTACATGTGTATTTGTGCCTACGAAATATGTTATTTTTATAGAACAACTTATGTAATAATATTTATGTTTCAAAAAAATATATTATAAGCATCCAAGTGACTGGTACCAATGTAGCTTAATACAATATTATTATTTAGGGAAGGTTGCTTTTAAACCATCCTTCATAAAAAAGCCATTAATGAGCACAGAGATTCAGATGAGAAAATAGTCACATTGTTGACCTTCTGTGCATCCACAGAGGACTTCATCAAGACTGGAAATCAGTGACTAAGCAGCATTAATCATGCACTCAGCCAACATGTATACAATTAATGTGTTAAAAGTCTGGTAGCATGTCCAGCATTGGGTTTTTCAAGGCAGCAAGGACATTTAGAAACCCACACTGGTGTAATACATGGGGAGAATTTCTATAATGATGTGCTCTTGCAGAAATTATTCAAGTTGTTTTGCTTTCTGGAAGATTTTTTGTTACTGTTGGTCAAACAATACTGTTTGGATTCCGCTTGCACAAGCAATATAAACATGCATCTTTAAAACAAGGAAATTCTACCTCATTCATTTCCTTGCCAAGATGCTTGAACATGCAAAGAGTTTATTTTATAATGTGAATTTGGTCAGAAAGAATGAAAGAATTCCCTTTACAGAATAGTTCTGCCATGAAAAAACTTCAACCTAATTTGACCTATTAAATAATAAAATTAAAGCAACAAATAGCAACCCCACCACACTGACTTTGCTTTAGTAAAAAACAGCAATACTACTAACAACTTAAACATTTGCTTCATAAGGATACAACACTATAGAAAGTATTAGGAAAAAAGTGTTTTTTTTCCAAATAGTATTTAGCATTAGAATCATTTCATCAAGAGAAATGTAAATGGAAATTGAGTGAAGATAGAAAAATTCATGTTTGCTCCAGTTGAAGTGGAAAAATGAGTGATGAACCTCAATAAATAACCCAGTATTCCCACTTTCAGTAGCCTAGTAAGTATCTCAGGGAAATTTTTAGAGACTTAATAAATATGAGTTGAAAGATCTGTGTTAGACCACTGACCATTCCATTTATGTTCAGCTAGAGCTAAAGTCTCCCGACTTCTTATGGGTCTTTTAAAATAAGAACCATATACCCACATCTTTGTTATGTGATGTCTTCTTTCTGAATTAAATGAAGGTCTAAAGGAGAGAATAAGTTTAAAGATTAGACACCATTTTTTAGGATATGGCATTTGGAAGAGGGGTTGTCTGGCACTATGAGATCACATACAGGCAGCCTCGTTTTCTGCCTTCATGTAACACTAACTAGAAATTAGAGAACAAGAGGACAAAATGAGAAGCTAAATGTGATTTAAAGAGAAAAAGAAAGTTGAAGAGTGGGGTTAGTGAATAAAAGGAAAATAAATTAGAATTTAAGGTTGGCAATCCTGTCCTTCAGTTTTTCTCCAACACCTGGACACAGAGAAGGTCTCCTTATTAATGTATTTCTAGTCTGGTTACTTACCCCAAGGGGCTTGGAATGAAGCAACTGCTGAAGAGTTAGAGGTGAGAAGCTCATGCCCAGATCCAGCTCACTGAGACATGAATGAAATATTCCCCTGCTACTGGCTTTGATTCTAACAGTATAGTGTGCATATGGAACAGAAAACATTTCCCTTAATCACTCCTTATCAAACTGCAGCCAGTTTATTGGCATGTCTATAAAGGGTTAACTTGCTTTCCGCTCTGGAACTGTGAGTCAACATCAGACCTCACTGCATACTTTATGAGAATAAATGGCACCTATGTTAATGAGGTAAGATAACAGAGTGAGAGCATAGGTGTTATTTTTCCCTCATCTTGAGGGTAGTATCCTGATAGCACTTTGCAAAGAGATTCACACCCCACCTCCCGATTCTGGTTCTTGGTAGCAAAGCCCCAATAATACCTCACAAAGGCAAAGGAGCATACAGACGCAGGTGGGTATGCACACACTCTTCATCAGAACATGGGAGAAACCTTTTAAAAGCTCACCTTATTGTGGAATGAATGGCTACTTCATCATCCTTAGATATAAAGAGCATGGTTCCATGAGTCTCTATGTCAAAAATTGTGTGTATGAATCCTATACAGGTGCCCACCTCTCCCACTCCTCAGTGGACATGCACTGTGTTTCCCACGTTGGTGTATTCATACAGAATTTGTGACGATTGGGGAGGTGGTGGCAGTAGGGCAGGGGTCACCACAGGACTGTCGGTGTTGGGGAAGCCAGCGTTTGGGAGCTCGGTGTTCTGCAACATGGGCAGAGAAGTCTGGTGTGAAACATTAACCCATCATCAGAATAGGCTGACCACGAAATAAAATGTCACTGGTACAGCCCATTTGTGTAAAGAGTTAACACATATACATCTATAGAACATTTTTACATTAGTTTCCAGAGACAGAAAATAGTTCTAAAAAACAAAAAAAATTTCCCATCAAAGAATGTCTTATATGAATTTTTCTTACTCTAAATGTGGAGTGATGTTTATGTTCAAATCCTCATGAGAATGACTAGGGGAGAAGGAACGTTAGCTACAAACATTTCCATCTCAATGAGCAGCTTTCCTTGGCATTAGATTGTTATTATTAATGACGATGATTTTCATTTACAACACAGTGTTGGACTGTAATTATTTCCTGGTATGAATTGCTTACTCACGTCTTCCCCCCAATTAGGTGACCTATTGCTTCCTACATATTTTTGTTGTTACTTCAATATTCTGGATAAATAGCTTGCTTGTGGATAAAACTGTTCTTCCTTAATTCTGATGTTTTTTCCTTTTTCTTATAAATTGCTCAATAAAATTCAGGAACATAAAAAGGGCACCAGAGGTGATTAAGTGCGATATTTTCTTAAGCTGTATTTGATTGCCTAGTGTTTCACATTAAGATAAAAGCTCTTGTATTAGTTTAACAAACAGCAAGCTTGATGGCTTGCTGTTTTGAGAGACTGGCTGAGAGCATGCTCAGAGGCTCCATATAGAATCTGTTAGTGGGAGAAGAGTGGGGGTACACACTCCATACCCTGCCTAGGTGATTATTGGCCTGTTCCTCAAAATTAGAGGAAATACGCTTTCAAGTGTCCTTCTTTAGCTTCTGCATGCATGCCTATTGGGAGAATGGGTAAAGGAAGAAGTGTTAAAACAATAAGCCCACAAATGTCAATGGCTAATCAACCAACCTGTAAAACATTAATTAATGAGTCTTCACCAACATACCTGCTGTTTGCTCAGTTCTGTGCCAGTCACTGTGCAAACCATTGAGGAAAAATACAAAATCCTTTCCCAAGAGAAGATATCACAATGCTATAAAACAATGACATGATATTATTAAACAATACAAGATATTACAATTCAAATCTAGTATGACTGTTTCAGATTTAAAGTGTTAAGGTAGTTTGGAGAGGAACAAAGAGACAAAAAAGGAAGTCTTTCTGGAGGAGAGGGTCCATGAGGATGGGCGGAACTCTGTCACACAAAGGAAACCAAGGCGAGTCAAGCCGGCAGGAAAGTGTGCGTGAATCTGTACTGCTGCTTCAGACTGACGGCACTGCCATAGTTAAATCCTGTCTCCATTACTTTCTTCTTGTTCTTACTTCAAGTCCTCCTTGTGCTGGGTGAGTGAACAGATTTCTATTTGCTGAATTCATTCTATGTAATAATAAAATAATCTTGATCCTTAATGTGAATTTTAAAAAAAGAAATTGATTTTTAGCTTCAGAAATCTCGATTAATTGAGACCACTTACAACCTCCTGGCAGGCTGAGATTTAAAAAGCCCTCAGGCAAAAATGTGCAGGAACTTTGGAAGGTGATGTTGCCTCCATTCCTCTTCTCAGGGCATAATCTTTCTCCTTGACCCACTCACCCAATTCTACCACTTGTCAAAATTAATTAATGCTTTCTTGAATTGTGCCCTAACAGAGAAGGAAAAAATAAAAATTCAAACGGCAGGAGATAAATCAGGGTACCATTGAAATTCTGAGTCCAAGAGACAAACAATACATCATGAAAACATACAATAAAGAGACAAACAAAAGAACAGCAACCATGGAGCAGACTATGTATGAAATTAGTCTTCCTCAGTATGATTTTCTAGATTTTGGTCATAGTTATAAGTGAAAATAAAACCCATGTTGGACAGAAGATGAAACATGACTTTGCATCTTCCAGATTGTAGTGTGTACAAACTTTCACATACTTTCCACTATTTCCTCATGCATATGTGCTATAATTTATTGAAGAAAATTTTATTGACTATTTACTATGTACCAAATAATATACCAGATATGTTTGGAATGTAAAAATAAATCTGACAAAGTCACTGTGCAGTAAGGACACTTTAATTGTACTACATTGTTTAAGATCTATGAAAGTGGTAGGTATGGGGTTGCAGAGAGATCATTAAAAAAGTGATGCATCCTATTATGGCTAATAGGGCGTTAATAACAGTGTAAGTCATAGAAAATATGACCAGTATAGGTCTTAGAAACTTTTGGGGGGTCAAATGAGTAGGTCTTCAACCTAAAGGGAGCAGGGAGGAGAAAAGGATTGCAAAATACATCTCACATAAGCATGCGTCATAAGCTGAGACAAAGAAACCTGAAACAAACGTACTGGGGAACACTGCAAATAGTCAGGAGCTCTGTGATATGCCTGTACATGCAAAATCAAGTAGAGGCAGATAATGGAGGGCAGTTAATATCACACTAAAAAGCCAGTCATTTTCAAACCATTTCAGGTTTCAGGTAGTGGAGTTTTGTTGTGATTGGTGCTGTTTTGGTTAAAACAATTATTTGATGAGTTCCAGTAAATAAAAATGATGTTCAGAAAAATAATAGTGCTTCAGTTGGAGGAATGTTGGAAACAGAAGACCCTTCACTACTCATCCATTTTCCCTGTCTCTTGGCTACTTAAGATGCATTAGGGTCCAAAATTAAAGACTTCCACCAATCAACTGAAAGCAACTCAGAACTGATACAAATATAATAACTAGTAAACAGGGACATAAGGAGAGTTATGTTCAAAAGTTAAAGACATGGATGACCTTACAGAGTGATATTAGTCCCAAATCAAACTTCTAGGGATGAAAACTTCATATTTAGGATGAAAATGATTTGGATAGGTCTTACAACCTATTACATATTACGGAGGAAATAATCAGTCAACTCAAAAACATAGCAATGAAAAATATCCAAAATGAATCATAAAAAAATAACTTTAAAAACTTTTACCCATAGAAAGAAAGCATATTATTTAATTAAAATTAAACACAATAAACAAGAAGATGACAGCAGATAATTCAATAAAGTGATCTTGGAGAAAAATCATTCAATCACTAACAGAAAAAAAAATCAACCTTGAATTATATACAAAGTGAAAAATTCCTTTCAAACACTGAAGGGTTAAATACTTTTAAAGATATATACAAATGCTTAAATTATTCATTAGCTACAGGCTTATAATATGAGACATGTTAAAGGAAGTTCTTCAAGAAAAGAGAAAACAATGCTACATGGAAATATATGTTATACAAAGAAAGAAGAGAGAAATATTAAGTACATATTAATGACACAATTTTTTCTTATTATTTAAGTTCTTTACAAATAATTTACTTGTTAAACAAAAATTATAACTATGTAGTTTGTGGTTTATAACATACATAAAATTGAAATGTGTGACAGAAATAGCATGAAGGCTGAAGAGGGAAAACAGAAGTATACTGTTTAAGATTTTTATACTATCCCTTAATTGATATATTATCACTTGAAAGGCAGTGATAGGTTAAAGGTATGTATTATAAACCTTTAAGCAACAACTAAAATAACAATATGAAGAACTACTGTTAATAAGGTTATAAAGGAGAAAAAAATAAATAATAAAAAAATACTCAATCCCAAAGAAGCTGAGATGGAGGCAGGAAAATCAGAAAAAGACAAATAGAAAACAGTGATGTAATAGGTTCAAAGTAACCACATCAATGTCACACTAAATGTACTAAATGTAAAAAGCCTAAACTCACCAATTTGAAAGTACAAATTTAAATGTCAAGTCCCAACTATATGCTACATACAAAAAATAGAATTTAAATCTAATAAAAAGAATATGTGAAAAGTAAAAGTGTAGAAAAAGAAAGTCCATGTTCATACTAATCAAAAGAAACCTGGGCTACATTAATACCAGACAAATCAATTTCAGAGCAAAACACATACTACAAAGTAAAACAGAGTCAATATCTCAAATGGTTGAGGCTTCAATTCATCAGAAGGACATAATTCTAAGTGGTTGTATACCTTAGAACGGTGTCTCAAAACACAGGGATAAAAAAACTGATAAAACAATTAAAAAAATAGAAAAATCCAAAACTACAGTATATTTCAATATCCTTCTCTTACTAGTGATAGAACTAATAGACAGAAAATCAGCAAGATATAAATGAGTTAAACAGCTATCAATCAATCTGATTTTAGTGATATTGGTAGAACACATCACCCAATTGTAGCATAGGTGATCCTTGGAAATCTAACCAAAGTGAAGCCATTTTGTTTATAAAGACACCATTTAAGAACAAGTTGCTGGTCTGTACTCCTGGACTGTAGTTCCAGGAGCAGGGAGGAGATTCTCCCTGTTTCTGTAAAACTAGGACAAAGCACAAGGAACGCAGAACTGATTTGTGTCTGAAGAGAAACATCATGATAAGAAGAAGAAACTCCCCAATTGCTAATTGCCTGTATTCTTACACACAGTGATTTGTGTTCTGGCAGGTACCACCCTTTTCCCCTTCCCTCATAAAAGCTAGCCTGGCAGCTGGGTGGTTGGCCATTTCAGTACAGCAGCTGCCTGAATGCTGTAACCCCATAATAAAACTCACTGACTCACCAAGCTGGACCTGTCCAAGTTGTTCCTTAGCTTGTCAGATTCCCTCACAATTCAGGGGAAGGCATTTCTCTTATGGTCTTCTGGGAAATTCTTTTCACACCAAAACTAACAGAATGTATGTTATTTTAAAATACCTATGAAATATTTACAAACATAGACATATTCTGGGCCATAGTCTGAATAATTTTTAAGAGATACAAGTTACATTCTGCATGCAATTAAATTAAATTAGAAAATAACAATGGAAAGGTCTCTGGAAATTTTACAAATATTTGAAAACTAAATAATACACAATTCTAAATAACCCATGAGTCAAAAAAGAAATCCAAATGGAGTTTAAAAAGCATTTGAGACTGAATGAAAATAATAGAGAAATTTTCTTGTGGAATATCATTATAGAAATACATGTAGTAGTAGAATTTTTAGCACTAATCATCTATTTAGAAAAGATGGAAGTTTTCAAATAAATACCCTCAACTTTCACCTTAAGAAACTAGAAAAACAAATAAAATGATATCCAAAGTAAGGAGAAGAAAGTAAATAAGAAAGTACAGGGCACAAATTAATGAAATATGTTTCAAACAACAAAATAAAACAAAAGCATAAGCACAAAGACACATTCAATGAAACCAATATTTGGGTTTTTGAGAAGGTCAATTAAACTGATTAACTTCTAGCCAGATTGATCAGGGAAAAAAAAGAGAGAAGGTAAAATTTACCAATAAAAATATGAGAGATATAACATCACTATAGATTCTAAAGACATTAAGTCATAATAGTAAAAATAATATGAACAACATTATGCCCATTAATTCAACAACTTAGATTAATTGAACATTCAAATAAGAAGTGATAACAATTCTACACAAACTCTATCAACAAATATTGAAGCCAGTATCACCTTGACACAAAAACCATATACATTACAAAAAGTAAATAAAACTGCAGACCAACATCCTTCATGAGCATAAATGAAATAATTCTAAATAAAATCTCAATAATTTGAATCACATACAGTGATATGCAAAATAGATAGGACATTATTACCAGGTGACATTTATCCTACAAGTGCAGAGTTAATCATGCAAAAATCAATGCAATTATTTACCTTCATAACTTTGTGAATGAAAAAAGAAAGAAAATCAATATAATCAACCATATTACTAAAAAACAGAAGGAAAGGGAGAAAGGAAAAGAAAAAAATCATATGTTCATCTCAATAGGATTAGAGAAAAAAGGTGACAAAATACAACACCCATTCCTGATAAAAATTCTCAGTAAACTAAAAATAGAACAGAATTTCCTCATCCTGATATAGGACATCTATCAAAAAACGAGTGTTTCAATACTTGTATTCGGAGCTCTCAAAATTCAATAGTAGAAAAACAACTCAATAAAAGAATGGGCAAGAGGTTTGAATAGATACTTCATCAAAGAAGTAATGGTAAATAAGCCCATGAAGAGATCCTCAACATCATTTATCATTAAAGAAATGCAAATTGTAACTACAGTAAAGTAAAAACATGTACCTATAGAATGGCTAGAATTTAAAAGACTAATCCTATCTAGTTTTGCAAAGGATGTGAACAAAGTGCAGTTCTCAAACACTAGTGGTTAGAATGTCAAATGACATCAGCTTTTTAGAAATCAGTCTGTCAGTTTCTTAAAAAGTGAAATATTTATCTATTATATGACCTCACCATTCCATTCCCAAGTATTTACCTAAGAGAAAAAAAGCT